GTCCAGCCTCTGCTGCTGCTGCTGCACCAGGATGAATGAGAGAGAGAGCCACTGCACGCTGCCTCTCTCTACCTCTCTCTATCACCAGCTCTATCTCTCTCTACCTCCATCTCTACCTCTCTCTATCACCATCTCTACCCCTCTCTCCCTCTCTCTCTCTCTGCATGCTGCTGTTGTATTTCCTGCACGATGCCCGTACCTCTGAGCTGATGCTTCCAGGATGTGAGAGCTGGTTTCACTTCCAACTCACGCTGCTGAAACGCAGGAGGAAGTAGATTCTAGCTGATTCAAACTCAGATGTAGTGTTGGCTCAGGATCAAGCCCTGCAGCTCCTAGTTTTTGGTCAAATCTTTTATTTTCACAACATAATTTGTTCTGCTTTGGATAATCTCCCCTTCCTCTATCATCACCTTTTTATCTTCCTCTCTAACTCCTGTATCCCCTTTTCTCTGCTTTGTAACATTAAGTCTAGTCAAAAACATGAACATCCATTTTATTCAAAAACATCATTTCCCATCATCCTGTTATTTAAAAGGGCTCCTCAACTTCCTGTTTTCGAACCCCTATCTTCCTTCTTTTTCCGCTCTGTAATATAGATTCTAGTTAAACAAAATCTTTTTTGCACAATCCTGTGATTTGAATGAGCTTCCCAACATGACACGATCAAATGTCAGCCATGGCCCAATCCCTCCTCGCATGAGTAGGCACCAGCACAGCTGGAAAATATTGTGCTGCAGGAGCCCAGAGGAAATATTTATTCTACATGTGCCCCGTCAGAGCCGCTGTCTCTGAGCACCCTCCTAATGAACAGCCTCTTCTGTTTTTTTCAACTTTTAACGGCCTCTGAAGTAAATTGGAGCCAGTGTTATCTTTTTATTGAGCAGTTGAGGGGGTGGTGTTTGAGTGGCTGACATGGGGAAGGATGTGATTGCATGGCAGAGGTACGCATGAGGGTGAAAGCAGCTGAATGCCTGGAGGAGGAAGTCGAGTGGCTTCCTTAAAAGGACTATCAAAATGTGTTGAGCGCTGAAATGACAATGCACGTTCTCTCAGGTGCAGCAGAGTTGGAGCTTAGGCTGGTGGCGGTGGAGGGGGGGGGCGGCAGCTCAGACAGAGTAAATCACATCATGCTGAGACGACTGGAACATGTTAGAATGAGATGAGGCTGGATGTTGTGAGGGAAGATGAGTTTGTGAAATGAAGAAACGTGACGTGTAAACACAAATAATGGAGACTGTCCTCATCAGTTCATCCAGTCATTCATTGAAATCTTTTAAACACCAATAAGTAGAGAAACCCAGAACAACTTCCCAGAGAGCAACAAATGTCATAACACCAACAAATGTTCAATTTACCATCATATGACACAAGAAAACACGAAATCCTCACGTGTGAGAAGCTGGAACCAGGAAGTGTTTAAATTATTCATTTTCCTTCAGCTGACTCATCAATCAATAGACAGATCATCGCAGCACTAATGTAAAGATAAGTGCAGGGATGACTCTAATGTCCTGCTGTAAGCATCTAACAAATATGACTCATGTGCACGTGCAGTGTTTTGCTGCTGTGAACCAGCCTCCTCTCTTCAGGGGAGCTGCTGCACTTCATCTCGTCTTACTTTGTGTTTTCATTCAACCAGACATGTTTGGAGTTGGAGCGTTACCTGCAGAGCGAGCCCTACGTCTCCACATCCGACCTCAAGTTCGACGGCCAGGAGGACCTCTGGAGCAAGCTGATCTTGGCCTGCGGGGACAAGGCCAAGGCCGAGTCCGACCCAAAGCTGCCGCGGGCGCAGGAGGAGGACAATCAGGACAGCCAAATCTTGGACACCAACAGTGTGAATTCAGACGCCAGCAGCGAGGCCTCGGACAGTTCTGAGGAGCTCTCGCCCACGCACAGCTTTACCTCCAACCCTCTTGGTTCCGTCTTGGTTGGCTCTGGACCTTTTAGCCCCTCCGTCATTAGCACGCCCCCGTCCTCGCCGGAGGCCAACTCGGAGCCCATCACGGTGACGAATAGCTGGGTCGCCATGCACGGCGACTTGCACTTGCCGGTCAAAATCAGGAGCGGTGGCTCTGCAAAGGGTTCGGACAAGACAGGACTCATGTGCGGGGACGCGTCTCCGGACGGCAGGAGGCGAGTACACAGGTGTCAGTTCAACGGGTGTCGCAAGGTTTACACGAAGAGCTCCCACCTCAAAGCACACCAGCGCACTCATACAGGTCAGTACAAACTGTCAAGGCCTAAATTACGTCCACTTGTGATCTGTGTGAAGGTTGAGTCCCTCCTCTGTTGCTTTCACTCAAAACCAGTTCATTCATAGAGCCAAAGAATGTTAGTTTTTATTGAGCGCTGGGTGGAAGTGCGATGAATTCAGTCTGTCATCGTAAAATACATTGTCCAGCCATTGTGTAATGTAATTAAAGGTCCACATTGCATGATGTCCTCAGCTGGAGCGCTGTGAGCATTAGCGCTGCATGGCTGAATACCTAAACTGTGACCTAATCTATCTGGAATGTGACTCACTGAGCCAGTGAGTGAGTGAGCGAGCGAGAGAGAGCAGGGGGAGGGGTTGCACATGGGAGATAAAAAGGACTTCAAACCAGATTGAGTTTCACTATGGGAATGGGGTGAATGGGTGGGGGGGCCGGGGGGCCCCAAGTGGGAGGCCTCTGAATGGTCATTTCAGTGTTTCTTACTTCTGATTAGAGGCGTGAAATTGCAAATGTTGCTTATTTCATTTTCTACACACTGAGCGTATGTTATGCATTCAGCTGCACTGCACCGCTGCTAGCAACTAAGCATGTTGCAGCAGCATAAAAAAACAGCCCAAGTGATCCAACAGGTTCAGTGAAAACTGGCTCTCGACTGACCTGTCATCAGACCTTGGCCCAGGGGGTGATTGATTTGAATGCGTTTTGAATAACAACAGAGCAGGGCCAACCAATCATTGCCCGAGCAGAGAAAACGTGCTGCATCAGTTTCAGTCCAGACTTGGAGCTTCACTCACCTGTTATATCCCCCTGCAGGTGAGAAACCGTACAGATGTTCATGGGAGGGCTGCGAGTGGCGTTTTGCACGGAGCGACGAGTTGACCAGACACTTCAGGAAGCACACTGGGGCAAAGCCATTTAAATGCAGTCACTGTGACAGGTAAGCCAGACTTGTATTATGTCTCCAAAGACTGAAGACACTGAGGCCTCTTTAGGGCCCGGTCACACATGCAGAAATGTTTGTTACTTTCTCGTCCAATCGGAAGGATTGAGGAGGCAAATCAAACATTTGCTTCCTGTGGTGGGGCAAATAACAGCGAGGCCTCACATGGAGTTCAACTTTGATGAACTTTGACCTGTGATATTGGCTTCACATTAATGTGTGTGTGACCATACCCTTAATTAGAGCTGAACTGATGACTAGCTCAACATGTGTAAATATGGGCCCATACTAGCTTACTGAAATGTGTGGATGTGGGCTAATGATAAAAACAAGTAAATTCATTTTGGAAATTTACGATCAGCTCACTTAATTTTGGAATTTTATTTTTAAAGCCCCCGAATGTCAACATCAGGCTCTTACTAAAAACTAGGAGGAGATAATTGGTCTCAATGAGCCACTTCTGAATAGGAATTTGTTCAGTTATTACCTCACGTCATTAAAAAGCATGAGTTCTACACCATTAATGTTTAAAATCACTGTAGCAAGAAGCTTCTTCCTCCGTTCAGTACAACATGTCTGACTTCCTGCCCCCCCTCTCTTCCTGTTCCCAGATGTTTCTCCAGGTCAGACCATCTGGCTCTTCACATGAAGAGGCACATCTAGAGAACAGGGCGAGCGCCGAGTGAGCGTCGCAGCGAAGGGGTGGACGTTTTTTTTTTTTTTTTTAAGAAGAAGAAGAAAACAAACGCCGACGTCTCTCCCGATCCGGTCTCTTGGTTGAACTGTCCCAGAGAGCAAGAGTAGCGGGAGTGTGTTCCAGCCAAAGCATGCCGTTTTGCACCATACTGAAACCCAGTGCCTCCGGGACCTCTCTTTGGAGAAAGGTGCTCTGAAGGTTGTCTGTTGCGACAAGAGGACAAAATCATGGATGGGGGAAGAACTTTGTTTTTCATTGAGAAGGACTTAAAACACACACAAAAAGACAAAAAAAAAGATAAAAAAGACGCAAACAGAGTGAATGATTTGTATGTATGGTGCATGATGTTTTGGGGACATCTCCCGGACAGCAGATACACTGGTACTTAAAAAAAAAACCTGTCTGAGGTAAGCATGTGTGCACTGTGAATGTCTGAGATTGGCCGCCGGGCCCCCGTGGAGAAAGAGAGCAAGGGTTTCTGGGAGAAGAGATGGATTGATGGAGCGGGGCTGGTACCAATGTGCTGTGGACTGAATGGGGTTTTCTGGGGGGAAAGGTTCCTACCAGTGTTTCCCCTGGTGGCAGTGTGAGGAGGAGGCAGGGAGAAAGTTCCTGCCCTGCCTGTCTGACACCCAGACTTAGTGGAGGAGGAGGAGGAGAAGGGGGAAGTCTCCTTGGGTTTGACTCGAGAGAAAAAGAGCATTGATGTGCCCCCTTCTGGTCTGTGACCCAGGACCCAAACTCTCCCCCTCTGCCCTCCTCACTCCCTTGGTCACTGTATGACCGGAGCTTTTTTTTTTTTGGTGTTTTTGGTGCAGCTACTAAATGTGCAATGTGTTACGTAGCCTGGTTTATTATTTTTTTACATGCTACAAAGCTCATTTGTAGTCCCAATTGTATAAGCTGTGTGCTTAGAGGTATAAAACACAACTATACTATAACTTCAGTATCATAGACAGGTGTTGCATGGTTCTAGGGTTTGTTCACTTCCTGTTTCCAACTGGTTCAGGACTGCAAATAGATTTTCTTTTCAATAAAAGTGCAGCTAAAACGCAAACGGTTTTAAATGTTACAATATTGTACATAAACGCCCCGATGATTTCCTCTTCATCTTTACGACATCATCAAACATTTCCCTTCACTCTGGTTCTTCACACGGCTGCAGACGTCACCGCTGCTTGCTGATTTTCTTCTCATTCATCCTTTGCCTTGAGGAACACTTTTTGATTTGTTTTTTTTGTACTTTCCTTTTCTATCTTAATAATGCACTGTTGACCTTAATGGTGCCTTATGCAAGTGACTCAGCCCCGTGGCGGCGCTTGTTTTCGCTCCCCCCCTCGGGAAGTCACATTTGTTGTATGGGTGATTTGACAAGCTTGATTAAGGCTCAATTACAAATTAACTCACACCTCTTTGTGTGTAATGAAAGCTGCCTGCATCTATTCCGACGGTTAATTGTGTTAAATGTAAATGCTCCGAAAAGTACCTCTCTCAATTCAGTCGCTTTTTTTTTTCCTGCCTCTTTTGACTCAGAGACAGCTCAGTTGACGTGCATCACACTCATTGGAGTCAGAACATGTAAATAAGACAAATGCTGTATGTTTAGAGCACTTAAATTCATTTATTAATGCTGTTAACTACTGTGTAGTATGAACTCAAGTCCATCACACTCGGCTCCAAGGTACAAAATAACCAGAGTAGCTAGACAACACATTGTTTTTCTCACAGTTCAGCTCATACAGTGCTGCTCCTTTTTACCCTGTATCCCTCCCCTCCACCATCACCATCCTCTGCACCCTGTCCCCCGCTCCGTCCCTCCATCGCTGCAAGTGGGACAGAAGAAAACGCTAAAGATTTATTGTAATTAACAGGCCGCAGTCGGACAGGCCTTGCCTTGTACTGCCTCGCGGTAATGAATTGCTAAAGGCTTTGTTGGCATGGAATCTGTCACAGACTGCTGACTGTGTAGGTTGGTTATTGACCTGTCTGGGGGAGCGTTGTTTTAGCCAAGCTGCAACAGTAATATGAAGAAAAAAAACAGGAGTGAGGGGGGGCAGGTGGGTTCTCTGGAGGAGATAAAGATCAAGCATCGATGTTGCACATGGAAATTTGGCCCCCCCTCAAAAAAAGAACGTCAATGATGTTATTTCCTAAAAATCTTTCTTCAATTTTTCTCACTGGAGGTGGATGGATACTGGACAGAAGGTGGAGACCAAAATAATTGTAGGGATTACACTTATTACTGCTTCAGGATACAGTGATCAGTGCCTCCGCTCCAGATCAGTGACCTTGCTGCTGGAATTTTCGATGTTGCAGCAAGTCGCACTGTGGCGTGTTCCAACATATGGATTTCAGATCAGCGAGGTGAAAGAGACACGATGAGTACAAACTTGAAACTGCTTGCTCCGATAGATTTGGGAGTGCTGGCGATGCCTTTTGTGGGCAAAGAGAAGGAACATCCATTCTGGGAAAGCAGCAGCCAATACTGTTCAAGTGGTAATTGAGCCTTGATTTAGCCCCATGTTTGCTCGCATCTTTCACACTTTCCATCATCCTTTTTCATCCCACTACTCCTCTGTCTCACACACACACACACACACACACAGCTCTTTGTTCTCAACTGAATCTTTGTATAAAAAGAAAAAAAAACAACTTTTGTAAAATTGTTATGTTTTTGCTTTATGAAATTTTTATTTGAAATTGTTTTGCAAAATTGTTATATTTCTGTATGAATGTATTTTTTATTGGAATAATAAGAAATTCTTATCTGACTTTGGCTCGTGCTTCATTATTGTGAAAGCTTTTTTTTTTTTATCATTATTTGTTGCCCGTGGGAGGTTTGCAGCTTGTTGAGGGCGAGTGGCTGCATTTCAGCTGCACCCTGCCCTCCGGTAATACGGACAAAATTAGATTAGGGTCTAGGGTGTGAGCAGCGAGGGTGCATATCTGACATTTTGAATTTGTCACTTAAAAAATGCATCAGAACCGCAAGTGTTTACCAGAGTCTTTGTGCAGCAGACAGCTTGTGTTAAACGGTTGTACCTGCTGCTGCTGCCAGAAGCACTACATGGCCTCACCTCCTCCTGACTTGTAAACACCAGCATGAAAATATCTCTCCTCGAATGAGCAAATTGCATCTCTGGAGAAAGTGTTTGCTAAACACGGAAACCTGACAAACGTCGCTCCCCGTAGCAAACATTCAGATCTAGCGTTTTTAGGTTTTTTTTCTCATTTTGAAAAGTTTCTGTGAAAATCTCTGCAGTGGTTTCAATCCTGAAAAACATCTGACTGTTCACTCCTTAGAGCTAGCTAGCTCTCATCAAAGCACTATAAATAATTTATCTCCATCGCTTACAGCCCATGGCATTTAATTAGAAAGCCCGCTTTTCTACATTTGTAAGATAATTACTCTACTTGACACAGATAATGATACAAAACAGCAGTGGATAAACCAAAAGAGCCCTACTTTAAGTTACAAACTAACAAGAAAATAAGATATATACATATAAAAGGGAAAAACCAACGAGCTCTCTGCTCTCCTGCTTATGATGCTGATGACCTAGAATGGGCCGGCAACTTATTAGCTCGTCTGATTTCCAGTAAAAGCCCTGTGGTTTATAAATGAAGCTTCGCCTGCAGTTGGTAATTAAGCTCGCTCTAGAGAACCTCCCCGCTTTGGAGTGGTGAAGAATGTTTTTTGCAGGGGGGGGGGGGTTCGCCTAAAATTCCGCAGCTCCTTGATCTCCCCAAAAGTGCCCCACTTGATTTGTAGACTTCAACGAGGAACAACGGCGACGAGCAACACGACCCGCAAAAAAGTCCAAACTCCTCACTTGACCCAGAGAGAGAAATCTTAGAGGCTCCGATTCTTTTAACCTCTGAAGTCGGAGTCGGGCAAATGTCGCGTTTTACTTCCACGCAGCTGAATCACATCCTGACGAGAGATGGGGAACATCCCCTTGTGAAGTGGACCATCATGGATAAAGTTTCTGGTCAATGTGGCACTAAGTTCAGCATTCTTTCTTTGATGTACGCAGAGTGCACGTCCTCCATGTGCTTTCCCACATCGATACTGTGACTCAGCCTAAAGCCCAGTGGATTAGTGGGAACGATTATTCACTTTTGGATGTCACACATCTTATCTCCATGTCTGAGGGGAGTGCATCACATGTAGGGTTGAATCCCATGACAGTGGTGAGGCCTGGGGAGGTTTTGTACATATAATGGCTGTGGAAAGTCAATTCAATCAAGTGCTGTGCTTGAGTACAAAATATAATTACCTGTGCCTTCTATTGTATGCTACTCGGTTCTTGTGCTCCACTAGATTTCAGGTAAAAGGTTATACAGTAGACATTTATTACTTAATGTTTCAAATTAAGACTTCACATGAAAGAATAGAAAGATGCATTATGGTGATAAAATACACACAGACACACATATGTACACACAATATATGTGTGTATTAGACCAAAATACCTTAAAACATCCAGTATTTTACTAATTGAATTTTTTGAAATATGTATTATCTGTTTATGTAATTTTTTGTATGGGGACATTATTATGATGGTGAGTTGGGCTGAATCTTATGTTTCACTTTGTGTAAAAGCAAACCCCCCCTGCAGTTTCAACCTGAATATGTAAACAGAACAGAAGCCAGTGTACACATTTATAAAAACCTGATACTGAGAAAAAATAAGCTGCACTATAAAAAACTCTACCCTAATTTCTCTACCCTAACCCTTTTATGAACCCAACCCCACAGTGCAAAGTGCATTTTAGTTGCTAGTTACCTTATAGATTAAAACAGTTTATGCAAAAAAAACCATCTTATCGATAAGAATAATGTTATAAATGAATTTGAACAGATTTATATTGGGCATTTAAAAGTCTAGACAGGTTTTAATTATAAAACAGTAAAATTACACATAACATGAACAAAAGTACTTTTGATACTTTATGAAAAAGTCAGTAGTGGTAATGAACAACCAAACAACCGCCTCAGCCACTGGATAATTTGATAAAATGCA